ATATATATATGATACCAGAGAAAAAAATACCCAAAATCACCAAAGAAATAATAACATTATTACTCAAATTCGAAAGGATTACAACCAAGACTCAGAATAGAAATAGAAATACAACACAGCACGATTCTCTAGCTATGGGAGGCAAGATGACCCGTGGACAATAGTGAGAAGGGGCAGGTCTAGGTGGCGTCCTACGCGTTGGTTGTAGGAAGGCTCGCAGTGATAGCAGGGAAGGGAGAGGAGGTAGCCGGTGGAAGGGTAGGTTGGACATTTGGAGGTTGGGGCTTGGGAGGCCCTAAGGCAGCAGGTTTGGGCTCTGTAGATGGCTGATGGCAGTTCTGCGAGGTTTGGTCGAAGCTACAGTGGATTGTTTAGGTTGTTACGGGTTGGAGTTAAGGTGGCAGAAAGGGAAGGGAAAGGGGGTTAGGGGATCAACTGGGGCTGGGAAGACTCACGAAAAAGGCTGTAGTGGGGAGGATGGTGACCTGCGGCTGGATTTCATGGGGGCTGGACAGGAAATACATGAGGGACTTGCGACAGGCCAGGGATAAGTGTAAGATTGTTGCGGTTGATTTTTTGATGGCGGGATGGTTGTTATCTGTTGCTGCTGGTGATCTGGATGAGATCTAAGATAGTCCCAAGGAGGGAGGAACAATTGTCCGGCTGGATTGTTGGCTAACTCTGGTAGGTGGCAAGGGGGTAAGGTGGCGGTGGAAGTCGTCGAGGATAAATTCTACCGGGGGATAGGGATACAGCCGGAGCACCACCCTTTCCGTTGGATACAGCTCACGAGGGAAAAACAGGAAGTCTACGACTGTCCTCGCAAATCTAAAATCAGAAATAATATAACTTGAAACCCTAAGAACTAAAAGCACATATAAATAGAAGTGGGATGGTCGAGAAATGCATGTAGGAAGGAGGGAAAATTCCAGCCTAATGAAAAGAGGGAGAAGGTCTGTTCAGCCCCCTCTCTCAATTGAATTGGTTCAGGCCAAACTGGTTCAGCTTTTGGAAGGAAAAACCCCCCGTGCGATCCTTTCGGGATTAGGGTAGCTTCGACCTCATTTGTCGAAGCTTATGGCTCCTCGTGGCACGACGTCAAGTCTTCTGGCACGTTGAACAAGTAGTCATTGTCGTTCCAAAGCACATTCTGATAGAAGAGGTATCCGTACACATTTGACACGACTTGAGTTGAAACTGTAGATAAGCGAGCATTTCCACGAATTAGGAATATCGCCATCCTAGTTGTAACTTGTTTCTTCCATTCCTCGTACTCAACTGGTTGCAAATGAGATATGCTGGTATGTGAGGAGAAATTCATTTTGGGTTGAAATCAGGTTTCGCCACTCTCACTGGCTCCTCAGGAGAGACCTCCCCACAGATAGGAACCAGATCCTATTGCAGAATTTTCATCCCCATCAAACTCCTCGAGCCTACTTCAAAGTTGGGGTTCATCTCTTCAGTTTGGGCATTTGACGAGGTGTCCCATGCTGACCTGAAATTAAACTCTTAATAACTCCATGTAATGCTGTCGACATAGCACACAATGTCCTCATTTCTGACATGTCAGACCTTCCTCTGTAGGGACAACTTAGAAGGAGGTCTAAAGATAAGACATTTGCATTTCTTTTCTCTATGGGGCCCTGTGTTTGATTTGGGCTGCTCAGACTCATAACTACATTGACCACTTACAACGAAGTCGGATGGAGTCTCTTCCACAAGCTCAGCTAGGACTAAGTGTATCTTATCCTCCTCAATTGGAAGTAGCTTCTCTTCGTTTATGTCCTCACTGTCTTTAGCGTCAGCGGTGTCTTTACCCATCTTTTCCTTGATGCCATGTTCGATGAAGTAGATCACTCCTCTGATTGTGTATTTTGCCTCCACATGTCCAAACCTGTGACACCTGCAGCATTTTCTGACTGGGATAGACTTGCGAATTGGCTTTGTTGGATAGTAGCAAGGGGGGTAGCGCCTAGTGTTGCGGTCTCTCCACTTTGGACGCTTGAGTCTGCAATTTTTTGTGGTAGTAAGTTGGTAGGAACTGACGTTGTGTTTTGCATTTCGTCTTCATGTCTTTTCGGTCTTCTCTTTGACCATTCAAGTCATGGTTGAGGGGAACCTCCCATTGGAATTCATCATCCATGTTCGTAATCAACCGCCGGAGTCGGCGGATGTCTCGTCATATCCCCTTCCGAGAAGCCTCAAACATGTATCTCATTAGGGGCATGACAAGGGTTTAGAGTTGGACGGTGAGAGAGGGTGTAGGAGATTCATTGAGGGTGTAGAAAAGTAATTTATGGTCGCTGATTTTGAAAATCAGCCAGGGAGAGTTAAGGCTAGGTGAAGATTTTGGCTAGGTTGGGAATAACAAAGAACAAAATTTTGTGGGGGTGGTTTGGGTGGGGGTAGATGCGAGGAAACCCTAGGATAGGATTAGTGTTGGGATAGCTCTGATACCAAAAGATACAGGAGAAGAAAATACCCAAAACCACAAAAGAATTTATGGTCACTAATTTTGAAAATCAGCGAAGGGGAGTTAGGGTTAGGTGAAGATTTTGGCTAGGTTGGGAATAGGAAAGAACAAACTTTTGTGGGTGTGGTTTGGGTGAGGGCGGATGTTAGGAAACCCTAGGATAGGATTAGAGTTGAGCTAGCTCTGATACCAAATGATACCGGAGACGAAAATGCCCAAAACCACAAAAGAATAATAATATTATTACTCAAATTCAAAAAAATTACAACCGAGACTCAGAACAAGAAAAGAAATACAACGCAATACGATTCTCCAGCTAGGGGATGCGAGATGACTCGTGGATAGTAGTGAGAAGGGGCATGTATTGGTGGCGGTCGACGGGATGATTTTAGGAAGGCTCTGCGGTGATAACAGGGAAGGGAGTGGAGGCAGCCGATAGAAGCGTTAGGAGGTTGAGGCTTGGGAGGCCCCAAGGCAGTTGGTTTGGGGCTTGGACATGGCTGTCGGCAGTTCTGTGAGGTTTGGGTGATGCTACAATGGAGTGCGCGGGTTGTTATGGGGTGTAGTTAAGGTAGCAGAAAGGGAAGGGAAAGGGGAGTTATGGGATCAGCTGGGGCTGGGAAGTCTCGCAGAGAGGGCTGTAGTGGGGAGGATGGTGACCTGCGACTTGATTTCATGGGGGCTAGATAGGAAATACAGGAGGGACTTGCGGCAAACCAGGGATAAGTGGGAGATAGTTGCGAATGATTCTGGGATGGCGAGATGTCTAGGATCTGCTGTTGCGATGGGTGGATTGGATGAGATCCATGGCAGTCCTAGGGAGGGAGGAACAACTGTCTGATTGGATTATTGGGCAGCAACGATAGGCCGCAAGGAGGGAAGGTGGAGGTGGAGTTGTCAAGGATAAACACCACCGGGAGATAGAGATTGGCGGGAGCACCACTCTTTTCGTCGGATACAATCTACGAGGGGAAAACAAGATGCCTACGACTGTCCTCGCAAATTTGAAATAAAAAATAGCATAAATTGAAATTCTTAAGGCCAAAAAATACATATAAATTGAAGTGAGATGGGCGGGAAATTCAAATTAGAAGGTGAAAAAATTCTCGCCTAAGGGGAGCCGGTTCAGCCCCCTCTCAAGTGAACTGGTTCGGGCCAAATCGGTTCAACTTTTGGAAGAAAACCATGATATCTTTATTAAATAACAATTAATTAATTAATTAATTAATTAAAATCATCCTTTTATCTCGATCGAAAGCGCCTCTCATGCATGCAATCCCCCCCACCCTCCCTACAGACTTGATTTGGTTCATACACAGGAGGGCTCCCTTCTTCTTCCTCCTGCAACTTCAATTGTTGCTTATTCGATGTCACCTCCTCCATCAGCTGCGAGAATCGACTCCTATCACACACGAAGTGCTCATTCCTCTCAACAGAGCTGCAAAGTTCTTCTTCTTCTGCTCCTTCAATCGTGGCTCGACAGATCACATCCACAAGTGGCCTTCCTCCTTCCTATGCACACGAGCACCATGTCGCTGCCCTAAGCTGCTAGATGACACCTCCTCCTAGACCAACCACAGTGTCATCTCCTTCGCCCCAGAGCTGCTCTACTTTACAGGTAAGTAGACTGCGATGATTTAAAGGGCGAACTCACCTCTTTGAATTCTGACCCCCCTCGCATCCTCTTCCCTCTATTCAACTCTTTATTTCCTCTCCCTCTATTCCATTTCCTCCCTTCGACTCCCTCGGAGAAATTAAATGAGGCATCACACTCAGCTCTTGATTCGATCGATTTGGCCATAGGCTAATACGAGATAAATTTGCCTTTAGGCAATAGGATTTTACATGCTGTTGAAGTTGGTTTTGCTTCATGTCCATTTAGAGGGTTTCTGCAAATTCTCATTAGCTTGAGCTTTCAACTTTCAGATTTTACTGCCACGTACATATATTTTTCATTTTTAATGTTACATGTATTCTCTTGTAAATTTGTTATGCTATTATAACACTGTGTTCATGGTTATTGCAGCCAAAAGATATGGTGGATTTACTTGTTCTACTCAATCAAGTGATTTGCAAATTTGGCACCTCTTTGGAGAGCATATTGGAGGAAATATTCCCTACAATAGCAAGCCGAGTATTCCTTACGCTATCAAGAGAGTTCCCTTCTGGTCATGCGAGCAATACAGAGGTATAAAATGGTTTGCACTTCTATATCTGATAATGTGGATGAAGCATGAAATTAATGTTTGTAATATCTTTTTTGCCTCTTTTTGTGTACTCTGTCCTCAGCTATACCATGTAAGATTTGTTGTGCTTCCTGGATGATTATTACTTTTAGGTTAAAGAACCTGTAATTTGTGTCATGCAGCTTCAAGCTTGTGTTTCTATATGGTGTAAAATTTGTCATATAAACTGCTCCATGCATGGGACTTCAAGTACTTTATCTGATGTAAAATTTATTTGTTAATTGAACAAATAGAGCTTTTATGACATTTATAATTTGTATGGTATCAGCTAACTAGTTTTTATAGATAAGCTTGAGAATAGTTTTTAGCTTCTTTCTGTCATCTCTTTTATTGTAAGAAATAACATTGATGTAGCCGATTATCTTTTTTTGGTTTTACCGTTACTTCATATGGGAGATCAGTCGAGGAAAGATGTGCAGGATATTGGCCTATTCATGTTCACTTCTAAAACACAACTTTTGACACATCAAGTATTAATTAATGCCTTGTATACCGGAAACAGCTAAAATTTGTGTCATTTTCACTGGGAGTATTGATGTAATTTAAATTTTTATCACATGTAAAGTCGTTTTTGTGACAGTTATTATTGCTATGATTTTCCATATAATGTCTTTGTTGACTGTTTAAATTATATTCTTCTATGAACCATAAGATGCAATATATATTATCTTGTTGAAGATCATAGCCACTTCTCATTTTGCTTGCTTTATCCTGGAACTGAAGTATTTTTACTGAATTTTTTTCCTTGATGGTTATCCATTTCTAAACAAATTTATTATTTTAACATTTATTATTGAATTGGTTCGGTTCCAGGAAGTTTAGGATTAGTTTCCATCCCCGAGTATCCTTTCATGTCAGATCTTTAATTGCAATTGTAATGGAAAAATATCTTTTTATGTAATTTAGGTGTTATGTCATATTTCTATTAGATAAATGGTATTGAACATAGAAATTCTATTATAGCTTTATTCTGGACCATTAGTACTATTTGTTTTAATTCATGTCATTCTAGTAAACATGGATTACTGCGTTTGAATTCTTTGCCACTCTAATTGGGTCAATGATAGATTATAGTTCCCTTTACAAGTTTAATTATTTATTTATAATTATACATATTTGTTGGATCCAAAATTTATCCATGGGTGATATCAGAACCTTACTAGCACGCTCAACGAGAAAGAATACAAAGATTAGAGAGAGAGAGAGAGAGAGATTATGTTATTTAGTACAAAAAGATTGCCCTTCTCGTGCTCTATCCCTATGTCCATATTTATAGGTTTGGATTGAGATTTAACGCTATAGGAAATGCTACATGTTGAGCTATGTAAATAAGAAAATATTTAGCAAGATTGAATTGTTGCTATAAAACAAATGAAAAAATGGCAGCTAATGATAAATTGGAATGAAATCTTCTTTAAATAAGGTTATGAGCACATTGGTTGTAGTTGCGTAGATGAAGTAGCTGACATAGCTAGTGAAAGTCAAAAGGCTAATGACTAGCTTATGATTTTGGATGATTATGTTTCAAACGAGTCTTAATTTTGAGTATGCTTTGATGAGATCACCATGCTCTTGGCGAGTTCATGGAAGTTATGTCAAATTCATAATATTCTTGGTGAGTAATTATTTTTTATGTTTTAGGCTCGGTAGGGTTATTCATAATGTTTTTTGAACCACATCTTAAGGATATTTTATGTGTAATTTTTTTTTAGATCTTTGGAAGATAACTGTGAGAAGAGTAATAGACTATCTTTTTCGTTATGTTGATTCTTATTACATCAAAATTACTTACCTTTTTTAAAAATGGCCTATTTTATTTGTTAAGTTAATTATTCTTCTTTTCTTTGCAAAGATAATAAAAAGAATTAGTAAAATATTTTACATTTATAAGTAATTTTTTATAAATTATTTTGCCATGATCGGTTGTCGTGTTGACAATGATGTTATTTGTCCTTTTGTACGCATCAGCAGCCATAGGTTTATATCTGTGAGTGTAGAGCTCTCATTTGAACGTTGTTCAATTTTCACCTGCTTTTTTATTTGTCTCTAAAACTCTCTCCTTTCAAAATGGCTAATATTCCCATTGCTAAATTTAATCTTCCATAAGAACAACGGGTTCAAAACATCCTTACAAAATATAGGAAGGAGAAATTGGAGCGAATGTTGAAAGGATAGGAATAACTAACTCTTTGGGGAGAAGCTGCAAATGAATAAGACCCGTTGATATTGTTGATTCAGCGATTTCTGTTGACAAATTTAATAATGCTTTTTTGATTGAAGTAGGTTGCGTGCATTTAGTTCTTCTTTATGAGCCATTGACAATCTGTTCTTTTATTTTTTCATTAGAGTTGATTGTTGCGCCTGATGCTTCATTAATTTTTATCATGATTGCTCTAGATTTTATTTAAATTTACTAATAAAAAATTTATATTTTACATATTTCCTTTTGTTAATATTGATTAGTTGACTTTGGCTAAACCTTTTGTGGAACAAATGATTTTGGTGACTTCGATTGATCTACATGTGAAGTCAAATACTAGAAGATTATTATTGAAGATAAGCTTATAAACTAATCTTATTGAAGATAAGCATATAAACTTTCTATGGAAAAAAATGCTAGATAAAAAAAAAGTTTGTTTGAATTATTTGAGTAGTATTTGCATTTCTTTTTTTTGTGTTGATGAGTGAATTTTTAAGCAATGATATGGATAATTCCAAGACTAAAATTTTTGCTCTTTCACTTGGGGCTAAAATTACAAAGCTTCTTTGTTAGATTATTACTTTGATCCTGCCTTGGAATTTGAGTTTCATTGATCGCCTTAAACTTTTTTACATATTCTTAATGACAACTCACATTAAACCGGGCACTACTTCTTTAGATCTTCATTGATGTGAAGTCTAATGACTTGAGTTGGCAATCAAATTATATATTTGTCGAAGGTTACAAACAATTAACAAAAGAAGTTATTAATCTGTTAGCTCTATCAAGTAGAGTGAAGTAAAAGTCAATGATCTCAAAGAGGAGAAAAATAAAAGAGAATCAACTATCAAGGTCGTTGAAGACTTTATCGAAGATCTATCTAGAAAAGAGTCGGCTTTAATCCATGCGGTTAAAATTAAAAAAAAATGCTAAGATCTTGGCGCATAAGAATAGATATATCTCGAGAAAGGAAAAGAATGGGAAGTTACTTATTTTTTGTCTGTTGAAATGGAACTACTTTAAAATAAGTTCTTAGAGACTTTCATTTAGTTTGCCGACTACAAAGAAATTTTATCTGCCGAATTTGAGGAAGGCATGTGATGAGGCTTGCGCTTCGCATAATATGAGCCCCTATCAAGGCATTTCTTTCCTAAATTTTAACACGGCATGTATAATTAGATCTAAGGTTTTTCTAAAACAAATATAAGTGGCTTTTATGTACATAGCACACAATTTTTATGTATTTACATATCTAACATCTTAACTTTCATAATTACATGCATACCACCCAAATCCTTAACATCACATAAAAAAATATTTCCATCACTATATTGTTACAAAAGAAATACAACTTTTTATGCATAGATTTATGAGACAAAGTGTAAATATCAATCTTTGGGTGTTAGATTTATAAATACATAACAATTGTGTGGTATGTATGTAAATTTTATTAAATATAAACATAAAATATCTAAGAAATATTTTTTTTTTGCACATATAACATACAATTAAGGATTTAAAATTGTTACTAACAAATCTAGTAAATATTGTTATTAATTGATATTGATTAAATAGGCGAAAGATGGTTGAAATTTATTTTGAGGGTGAATGAGATAACATGGATACAAATGAGGTTGAGATGACGGAGAAAATAAATTATTATGCTGATGATTTTAATGATGGCTCATTGGGTGAAAATAGTTATTGAGATTTTTGAATTTAGAATGTCTAACATTGATAGCTTGTTATATTCTTACTTTGATGGATGATAGTATGAGCGAGAAAGAAACTAGTTCGAACAAATACTTTTTGAATTGTTATATTCTTATATCTTACTTTAATTTTTGTATAATTCTTTTTATTTTATGAGTTGATGTTTGAATATTATCATGTTACTTTTTTGAAAAATTTATTACTTTATTGTATTAGGTTCTTAATATACTACTTTTCAGTACATACTTTGAACTTAGTACTATAATATTTTATTGCACAATTTATTAATTTTGTAGCTCATGCCTCTAAACATCTCGGACAAAAATTCCTTAATATTTAATTGCACAATTTAAAACATTGGGATGATTTGATCGATAAGAATGTCATTCCTTCCAAGTATAATGATTTATAAATTTAATAGTTGGTAGCAATTGAGGTCGTTCATTACAAGGTTTTTTTCTTCTTTACTGGTAATGAGTTTTGCACTTCTGAAACTTTGAATGAATTTTTATGGAGGGTAAGTGTGGTGGGGGCTGGAATTCAAGTTTTGCCATTGAAATTTTTAAAAGATACATTTAAAGAATAACATGTGTTGATTATGTTTTGCCCGGTGATTAGTTTTGAACTTGAATGACTTGAATAAAAAGTTTAAAATAATATTCAAATTTAGTTTCAAGTATTTGAAATTTTTGTAGGAATAATTCCCTAATTTGATTGTTGTGAAGATATAAAGAATATTTTGCTTTTAAATTTAATAGATATTTTTATCTTTATATTATGACTCAAACAAAAATGTTTGAAAGATAAATTCTTTAGGCACATATAGTCTAATTTTGGTCCTTTAGCTCTCCTCCATGACGTAGTCTCATAATTTTTAAATTTGACCTTAAGCTAAGATCACTTCGATCCAAAATTTACGTTAATATATATCTCTTTAATCAACAAAGCGCACATTTAGGAAGGAATATTTTCTAATGTTGATTTAAGCTTTCTTCAAAATTCTAGGTTGAATAACTCAAAATAAAACTTTTAATTTAGGTCAAATCTATAGTACTGTCCCTTGTTCTTCACCAAACTTTCCTAAAGTGACAAGTTCAAGTTTTTAAGTGAGGTAAATTCCTTGCTATTACTTATTGAATTCGCCCTTAAACGGAGCTCAACATGTTGTCACACGCTGAATTCAATTTTAGCAATTTGGAATATTCATGTGAAAATTAATAATTTTTCATTCAAATATTGAAAGTTCTATACAAAGAGTTAGAAAAGAATTCTCCCTTTTTAGTGTAAAAAAATATTTAGATCATCTTTGCTTCTGATCTATGGTTTTTTTTTTTCCTAGAAAACTCAAGTCAGTAGACCCGTAGTCTGACTTACTCTTTGACGACATAAGATCTTTCCCATTTAGAACCTAACTTTTTATGCACGGATTATCAAACCATAGTATTCAATTTTCTCATCATTTGATTCCTTGCATTGACTATTTTTTTCTCTTACATTTGAATTATAATATTTTCTCCCTTTTCTTTGACATCTATTTTATAGATGCTTGATTATGGGCTCTTCAAGTAATTTTATCACAACATTTAGATTCTCTTTTATTTTCTCTTCATTGATTGAATTCTCCCTCTTAAAAATTGAAGTCGCAACTATCAGAGGCTGTGCAAATTGTACTCTACAGATAGCAATGCTTCTATTTAATGTAACAATGCGAAGGTTGTCTGCCCAGTCACTGTTAGAGTTGTTTTAGAGTCTAGAGGATGAAAGACATAATTTTAATCTATTTGCTTTTGCGCCTTCAACCTTTTTTTACAAAAGATTCAAATTTTATTTATTTTCAACCTCCGTTGCCAGATTATTTTAGGATAATGGAAACAAGTTGAGTTGTATTATTTAGCTTTATCAAAAATTCATTAATCTTCTTGTTTGAAAATTGTGGCTTGTTATTATTTATTATAGTTATTGATAAATCATATAAAAAATGATGTCAGACCAGATAAAGTTACGATAATTTCTACTCAAGATTTTTACTAGTGATTTTGCTTTAGTCCACATCGACCACTTGATGGAGGAAAATGACTAATAAAATCCATACTCCAAACTATAAATGGCTATTAGCTTGAAATTGAGAGCAGTTTATTAGAACTTTAGAATTACTTTGGAGCAAAATTTTGACATTGGAGATGTTTCTTAGAGAACTCTACATCTTTTTTAAAGATTGATCAGAAATACTCTTTTTTCAAAATTCTATTTGTTCGAGTTCTTCCATCTGATTGACTTCCGTGTTCTTCTGAATAAGCTTCATTGAGGATTCATTTCTCCTGCGCATTTCAAATTAGTGGAAGTTGAGGACTCACGTGACTTCATTTTCTGATGATGGAAGATGCATTGAAAGTTCATTGTTTTGAAGTTGTTTTTCATTACTAGGCTACACTATTTTAAAGTTGGTTTCCATAGCATACCAAATAGTTTTTTCATTTGAACTTCTTGTATAACATTGATTAGTACACTGTTTACAGCTCATATCATCCTGAGAAAGTGAATGATCGAGCAAGGCACTATGAAAGAAGAAAGATTAAAATTTTTATTTCACATATGAAAAAGTTTTTTTTTTTTATTCCTGCAGGAAATGCGGGAATTGCAAGAACTTCAGAAAATTTCATTTGCTTTCATTCATGTTATGGTAACACATGAGCTCTCTTCCGTTTTACTTGCACAAAATAGTAGGGGGTATTTGGATGGTATAATGCAGTTACTGTTGTTAACCTCATGCAGTCATACAGACGTTCTAGTGAGGAAGGTATGCCTATTGTCATTTTTCTGCAGAATAGTTGCCTTTTAAAAGACAAGGATGATGTAATACATATTCAACACTTTTTTCCAGATCTGTGTGCAGATTTTTGTTAAACTTATTAAAGACTGGTGCTCTAAAGATATTGATGAAGACAGGGTAACTTTTCCTTATTTTCATTTGACAGTATATATTAAGTTGTTCTGTCAGCACGTTCTCCTAATCGTTCATAAGCACACACAACTGCAAGCACATTCATTTAAGCGTAACTGCATAAACTCACAGAGCTGCCTGCATTCTTGTGCCCAAGTGTCTAGAAGTTCTTGCATGCATGAAGCATCTTTATGTGCAAGTGCTTTTATGTTCTTTGGCATTCTTTGGTGTTTTCCCTAAGAAGCACATGTACTTGCGCTAAGTATACTGAACTTTGATTTAAAAAAAAGACTGAATTTTTGGGCATATTAACCATTCAGGTTCCTGGTTTTCGGAGCTTCATTATTGAGAAATTTGCATCTAATTGCTGCTTGTACAGTGTCTTGGACAAGTCATTCGAGTTCCGTGATGCTAATACGGTAGGAGTATCTGTATGTTACTGCTGTACTTCTTTTAAAAAATGTAAATATTTTTGTCCAAGTCATGCGTATGTTTTTTTTTTTTTTCCTTTTTGTTGTATTGTCCAAATACCTAATTGCTTTGTAAAGGATTATACTGGATAGGCTTTGGCGTTTTGTACCCTCTAGTTTTTTAGGAATCTGCCTAGGGCTTTAGAATCAACTTAATACTGCAAGTTTTCTATAAATATTTGAAGGGATCTTTTTGAGAGTGTAGCAACTAATATTTGATTGCTGCTTTTATACGACGATGCAACCATCATAAATACAGAGCCTTGAAAGAAATAACAAAAAAAAATACCCTGAGATTGTGACTCTTCAATTAGATTTAAACAAACAATTTCAGAAGATATGCTGATTATTACTTTTTGTATAGAATTAACAAGATACTCAAGAAATCAAGTAACTAAGCGCCTTAGAATGAATGAAAGAAGTTTTGATTTTATTCAGGTTAATTTCCCAGATGCATTCTTATGAATGGTTAAGTAAATTTTTTTCTTGTAATTGTTTACATTTGTTTCTATATGCTGGATGAAATTATTATGATTGTAGTTAAGTTAAAAAATTCATGTTCTTGAAGTTTTTTGATACTTAGATGAACATTCACTTTTTTGTCTTGGCACAGAAGTTTTATTCAAGGAGTCCGTGGCTTAAAAAGGTGTGCCAAATGTTCACGATTCCTGCCAGTTTGGGGATTGTGAAGGATTGATTTATGCAGTCTCATACCTTTATTTTATAGAGAGTGGTCGTGTGATTCAAACTTGTGACCTTTAGTTATATAATATATATTACTTAAAACATTGTTCAAGGAGTGCTATCCAATTTTGCAGCCCTTTCTTGTCATGAAAAAGATGCATGTTTAAATATATTATGATGGGTGCATTTTAATTTCGCATTTTCTGTTGACCTTATTTTTTGCTGCTATTAGCCTACAATTGCTACCTTTGCTATGTAGTTATATTAGTTCTAAGTGGATGGTTCAGAGCCAATTTTTCATGTGAAGTTTTTCGACTTTAGGGGTGTAGATAGGTTATCTTGGTCATAATTGTGCTAGATAATCATATCTACCTGACTGAAAATAGTTGAAAAATCATAAATTTCCTGCACTTCTCTTTCTATACTGTTTTCCATTCGTTGGCATACACATCATGAATTTTAATTCTTGAATATTTTTTTGGGGCATTTACATATATACAACACAATTCTTATGTATTTACATATCTAGCACGTAACCCACTTATTTACATGTATGCTAAAACTTTTTCTTCTTTTTGTCAGCTGCATCTAGACTCATTTGCAACATTTTTTTTTTCTTTTTTTGGTCAGCTGATTCTTTTTGGAGAAATCTTATCAGCCCAGAAGGTAATGTATGATAAGTTTGGCGATGATTTCATTGTTTATTTCGTCTCCAAAGGCCTACTGGCTGGTCATTGTCCACAAGATTCCGCAGAGCAGTACTATCAACATTTACAGGTTCCTTATCGAAATTCTTTTAAGCAATTTACATTCAGTCAAATCATAGCTGTTAGAGAGGACATCTGTAGATATTTCTTTATTGAGTTGCGTTTAAATATGCATTTTTTGTGGTTTTATTTACATTTGCATTAGGCAACCTCTAGATTTTCAGTGGTTAGTATGCCATCAAGTTACGAACCTAGCCTCGTTGTAGAAGGAATGCCATTAAAAAGAAGCAGAATGTAGTCCAAGATCCTATACTACTGCGCTCTTGTGATTTTGGTTGACAAGTCAAGTTTACTGCTTTATCTCAGTGTTATTTTGACATGCGTATTGATATCATAACTAACTTAAGCTTTCTGCACTTGCAAATGCAGTTAATAATTGCATACAGTGCACTTGATAAAGAAATTTGCTTCAGTTTGCTTTACAATTTTTTGAAGATAATTGCATACAGTACACTTGATAAAGAAATTTCTTTATATTTCGGTTAAATTACTAAATTTACCTGTAAACTTATCTACAGTTCTTCAAGGCTTCTTGAATATCCAAAGCTATTGCTAAGCTCAGTTCTAAATTTCATAAAAGCTTAAAGAAATTGCTTTGAATATATGTATCTGAATAATTTTCCATTTCTCGTCGTTGGCATAATCAAATTTGAGCAGAGACATTGTTCCTTTCAAATTTATTTGATCTCATTGTGTAGTAAACAGACAACTGCTTAGGCAACCCTTTTTTTTTTGAGTTCTTTCCATGCACTTACTCCTTATATGTGTACCGTTTTTGAACAGGGAAATGATAAATCATTTAAATCTTTCTACCAATCTTTGATTGAGAACTTGAGACAACAGCAAAATGGAAGACTTATTTTCAGATAGCATTAATTTTACTAGTAGCTTGAGACAAATTTTTTATCGCTCCAGTATTAAAGTTTGTAAGTATTTCAACATTCAAGTTCAGGTGATGAAATCAACCTCACTCTTCTTTAAATTCCAGATTTGATTTCTACCATGTATTGATTTAATTTATTGATTATCCAGGATGCAGTTTCTCCTGTATAATGCCTGCAACATTTTTGATCATGAAGGTATGCTTCAGCTGCGTTGTTGTGTCAATTTCTAAGGTTTTTAACCTAAACTGAATTATGTAAATTTATATTTTTACTTACTAGAGTTGGGCTTATTTGTGAAAAAGTAGTAGTCATTGTTTTTGGTGAACTAGTCAGAAAAATTTCTTGGTTTTTATTAGCGAGGACGCTTAAGGTCTGTTTGGGGCAGCTGCAGCTTATCCAGCTTATGCTGATAAGCAACAGATCCGGATAAGTTGGCTGACTGTTTGGTTTGTTCGTTTGAAAAACAGTTGATTCTGGATAAATGCTCATTCTGCCCCTGTTCCGGATAAGATGTTTGATTTGTGCGTAAGAAAAATGATTTGCAATTTTTTTTGGTTAAATGAACAATCTGGCATGCAAAAGTTTTAATGTTCTCAACAAGACTGCAATATCTATATTTTGCTATTTTAGAACCAATTAACCCTCTTCACTTTAATTCGACACATAACGACCACCAAAAAATTTCTATTTACAAATTTACCAATCTTCTTAATGCAATCAAATAGGGGAGATCAAAGTAAAGATTCATGAATTCATAGAAGAAAAATTTACTCATTTTCCAATCACAGAGAGGGAAATTCGCCACTCACACACACAAAACAAGGGAGAGAGGGATCATGGAAATCGTATAAGTAAAATTACTAATGATTAAGTTTAATGTATCTTTATCTTTTTTTTTTCTTCTGTAACTGTTAGCTTGTAAATTTGAGGCCGCACTAACATCATCTCCCTGTGATCCTTGGGAGTGTGATGCCACTTCAGTGATCTCTGGCAGGGTCCGGGTCATAATTTTCTATGTTTGGTCTCTTACGACCCGATTAGGTTTAGAATTAACTAAGACCGGAACGGATGGCCGGACGGTGGAAGTAATATCTTTGTTATTCTATTTTTATTACTAACAATTTAATATTAAAAAATTTATGAAAGAGCTACTAAAGAAAGAAATTAAAATTGGCAATTAGAAATTTGTATATTTTTGTTTGTTGTTTTCTTCTCCTATATACATTTGTATATTTCTGTTTGTTGTTCTCTTCTTCTATGCACATTTGTTTCTCTTCTATTCATCTTGTTTTAAGAGCTCAAAATATAAAAAAAGTTATTAAAGTGACATAATGAGTTTTCTAAAGATAACTCAAGAGTAATCACACTTTTAAACTACAATAACCCAAGAAAAAGAAATCATTATGCATGTTGGTTTTTCACATCTCTATAAGAAATTTTATAATATATTAGTCTTTCATATTTTTATAAAACATTTGATAATATGTTAATGTATGTATTTGATAATATGTTAATATATGTATCAATAATCTTTTCTAAATAAAAATACTAAAATCTTCTATATGTATTTACTTTAACTTTATTTTATACACTTTGCATATATATCTATCTCTGTGAGGATCATCATAAACAAAACCTAACACACTCTTTGCCTTTATTGCTCTGTCGGCTCTTGTCGCCACAGCGGTTATTGATATAAATATTATAATTGTCTAGGGTGGAAAGATCCTTATATGCATCATGACCGATGTTATTCCGTTGGCACAATGGTTAACAATGTAAACATCACAATTTTTTAGGGAGATAAGCTCTAGTCTACATGCCTCGTGGGCGATATTATGTTGTCGGCATAATGGTTAATGATCGAATCATCACAATTGTCTATGGTGATAGAAAAATTTTATGTGCGAGAACATACTGATATCCTCTTTCTATACCGTTAGGGGGTGAACTCCTTTGATGCACATACAAAAATTCATATATAAACTATTTCATTCTTCATAGCATATATTATTCTAAGACATCTTTATGCATCTGCTAACATGCATTCTTTGATTTGCAATTAATCATCATACATACTGCTCATGTCATGCAGATCTCCCATATCATTCATATTTTTATCTCATGCATATCTTTCTTATCATGCTTATCTTACGTATCATGCATATCATGCATATTTTTCTATTTAACAATATGAAAAATCTGCTATAATATAAATCTAACTGAACTAAAACATACATTTTAAAATAAAATGGATCACTAAAATTTGTAAATGTAATTACTCACCTCGGTTGTCATGTTATATTTTTATTCTTCAATAACTTGCTGGACATATTAAATTTTAACATTTAAGCAATTTTCGTTACTCAAATTATTCTTTGGTAACTTACCTGAATTATATTAAATTTTAACATTTAAGCAATTTTTGTTACTCAAATTATTCTTTGGTAACTTACCTGAATTTACGGAGCTGTTCTACGACAAGTTTCCTCACGCTTGCCTAGAACTCACCTTCTCAGGTAACCAACCTAACATTTTAAACGACTTAGAAATTCAAGATATCTTAGCTCATAAATTGATTTAACTAAAAATTTAATTGATTTGCCAAAACATACCATAAATAGCTTTTCGGCAACTCACCTCCGAAACTGTCAAATCTTCTCCCTTCTTCTTATCTTCTCAATCTTCTCTTTTCCTTCTCTAATTTTGTGCCAAAGCTCCTACAAAAATTTGCAAACCACTGCCGACACTTCTGAAACAAGATCAACGCCTCCGACGACTACCAAAAGAAAGAAAAAAGATGCACGTTTTGTGGCATATCTCAAAATGGAAGCATGAGGAAAAAAATGAAGATTTCAGACGTCGCTAAAATTAGTTCTGTAACTTTCAATTTTGTCCTGGAATTCAGATTCTTGGCTTGCGGAATTCGGTGGGTCGCTTACTTGGTTCTGTTCTCGTTTGGCTACAGTAACCTTGCACTAGAGCCTTTCATAGGGGAAAACGAGAGAGCGAGACGGGGAAATGCAGACAAAATAAAGAGATGGGAGAGGGGTTTGAAGACCGGAGAGGATTTCTCTATTCCATACATTCATAGGGTTAAAAATGTGGGGGTCGGTCAGTTGGAAACAATAAAGGGTGTGGGAGAATTAAGGAATTATTACGTTTTATTAAATTAATTCAATTTACTACTTCCAATTTCTCTATTTCCTAATCCATTCAAAATTTATTTATAGTATTATATATAGTATTAATTATTTTGATGTGTAAAATTTTATAAAATTAATTCGATTGAATTTGGAGGGATTCAAAATTTAAGGTACATTTTAAAGTTGCCAAAATTTTTACTCGATTTCACAAAATTGGTTATTACATGATCATCTAAAATATTACTATGCTATTAGGGATTACAAAAAGCTTGGTAATTCAAAACCGTGCTTAAATTATTGGGACCCTATTGTTTATTCAAATTACTAGATTTTTATAATATAGGAGTGCATTAGATATCAACATTGACTCCACATCTTTTGTTATCTTGTAGTGGTTTATATATATATATATATATATATATATATATATTATTATATACAAGATGTCTTTATA